TGATCAATTGAACAAGAAGATATAACCATAATAAATATCTATGGACCCAATGAAAGAGCCCCAAAATACATAAATCAGACTTTAAAAGAGTTGAAAAGTCAAAAAGATGACTCCACAGTCATAGTGGGAGACTTTAATACACCACTTTCAATGAAAGATAGAACTGGAAAGAAACTCAAAAAAGATGCAGAAGAACTAAACAATATAATCCATCAACTTGATCTTATAGACATCTACAGAGCACTTCACCCAAAAACAGCACAATATACATTCTTTTCCAGTGCACATGGAACATTTTTCATGATAGATCATATGTTAGGCCATAAAGCAAGCCTTATTACATTTAAAAATGTTGAAATACTGCAAAGCATCTTCTCAGATCATAATGCTACCAAATTAGAAACCAACAATAGGAAGATCAACAGAAAAAGAGTAAACACATGGAAACTGAACAACACCCTCTTTGAGAAAGACTGGGTAAGAGAAGAAATAAAAATTGAAATTCAAAAATTCCTTGAATCAAATAGAATGAAAATACAACATATCAAAATCTTTGGGACACAGCAAAAGCAGTGATCAGAGGCCAATTTATAGCAATTAAATGCACACATCCAAAAAGAAGAAAGAGCCAAAATCAACACTTTAAACCAACATCTTCAACAGTTAGAAAAAGAACAGCAACAATGGCTCTCTCCTCATCTAAAGCAAAGAAGAATGAAGAAAACCAAAGATGAATGGAAACAATTAGTCCATGGGACTAGTAGACCACGCGAACCTCAGCCTACATGACCATGAGATCAGAAGAACTAGATGGTGCCCAGCTACCATTGTCAACCACTCAGAAAGGGATCAGTGCTTGGATAGAATGGGTGAACAATATGGAACAAAATTCAAAATCATATAAATGACCAGGCTTACTGGTCTGATAGAGCCTGATGAGACCCCTGAGAGTATGGCCCCCAGTGACCCTTCGGGCCTGGTACTGAACTCACTCCCATGGCTTCCAGCCAAAGAACAGACAGGCATATAAGGTGAACATTTACACCAGGTAGATACACTCCTTTGAACAATCAATCATGGGAGAACAGAAGGGCAGTATTTGCACAGGGAGACAGCTCAGGGGGCAGGAATGCATAGGAAAGGAGGACACAGGGAAGAGGTAACTACTCAAAGTGGGAAGAGAGCTACTCAAAGTGGGATTGCAGTCAGTGGCATGAACCAAAATGTGTATGAACTGCTGTTTGGAAAATGAATTTGCTCTGTGAAATTTCACTCAAATCACAATAAAAATTTTTAAATAAATAAACGTCAAAGAAGAAAGAAAGAAAGGAGGAAGTGAGAGAGCAGAGATGGGGAATATAGATGCCATCCACAAGGGACTAAGGAACAAGGACCTTCCCCCAGAGGCAACAGATAGAACGTCTCCTCTAGAGTGGGTGCCCTGAATCCAGACTTCTAGGCTCCTGAACTGTGAGAGAATAAATTTCTGTTTGTCAAAGCCACTCACTCATGGTGTTTTTGTTACAGCAGCACTGAGAACTGACACAAGAGCACTCAGGTGGGGAGGTTTCTGTGAGGCTGGCACGCAGCAGGCCTCACTCAATCCTCTTTGATGGCTCTTCTGTGCTGTTACTCCTCCCCTGGGGCCTCCATGGGTGGGCCTGGCCCTGCCTGCCTCCCCGCCCACTGTGGATGGGATACAGCTTACCTGGACACCAAGAGTTGAAGAGCAGGATGAAGTGGCCCAGCACGAAGCTGGAGCCCTGGTAGCCGGTGGAAGTCTCTAGGCTGAGGCGGTACAGACCAATGGGAGCATGGGCTGGGGTGTTGAACTGCAGTGAGAGAATGTTGTCCTGCTGGTCTACCACTGCAGCTGTCCAGGTGCCCTCCTCCACAGTGTCAGACAGTGGGAAGCGGGCCTTGGTCCCAGACTCCTCGCTGGAAGCTGGTCCTGTGCAGGGAGGAAGCAGCAGCCATGAGTGAGGGATGGGTAGGGAAGGAGGGATGCAGCTCTGGCAGGGGCAGGGCATATACCTGAGGTCCCAGGGGTCTAGTTTCCAGACCTAGACCCACCACTAACCATTGTAGGAACTATGGCAAGATGTTTTTATCTCTCTGAGTCTCAGTTTCCTAATCAGTAAAGTGGGGCTCAGAACCTCAACCTTGTAGGGTAATTTTGTGGGAAGCAGATCCTCTGGTAGAGAGGGGACATGTAGTCTGGGGCAAAGAGACTCTGTCACACTGGTATAAATTTGGATACGACCCTTCTCCTAATGGACTCACTCTGTCCATCTGTAGCAGGGATAAACCAAACCCACTGCCACTGAGTTGACCCTGATTCATAGCGACCCCCATTGGGTTCCCTGTCTTCCTTCCATGGAGTGGCTGGTGGGTTTGAACCGCCAGCCTTCTGGTTAGCAGTCAAATGCCTTAGGCACTGCCCCACCAGAGCTCCTTTGTAGCAGGGATAGCAATTATAAAAGGCACTCCTTAAAGATCTTCCTGTGCCCAAAACTGTTACCTGCCACCATCCTGCCTTCCCTTGCAGAAGGGAAACCAAGACTCTGACTAGGATGGGACCCTCATTCTCTTGATGCCCAAGGCCTTGTCTGAGAGCCCCCTTGCTGTGGGCTAGCAAAAGGTGTTAGCTGAATAGCCTCTCGGCATTTGACTCCAACTGTGCCCCTCCAACTGCTGGCCTCTATATTTCCAAAGCCAGAGCAGAAGAGGAGCTGGTCCTAACCATCCCTCACTTCCCTCGGTCTTTTCCACTTTAGGAAGCCTTGGCACATCCTGCTTCCCTGAAGCCCCCTGGACAGCCAAGAAAACTGAGGCACAGAGAGAAGGAGATCTCCCAAGGACTTCCCTGGGGTTTGCAGCAAAGTTAGCTTCTGAACCCAGGGCTTTAGGCTCTACTCCCCTGCATGTCCTCCGTGACACCTCTTGTCCCCAAAGAGGATGCTCCCTAATGTGGAGCTCAAAGGCACAGGGATGTGGAGAGCCTGCCCCAACTGTGTCTGCTTTTCCAGGTGGAGGGGAGGGCCTGGCCCTGGCAAGCAGTTCTGAGTCATGGGGAGGGCAGGGAGGAGCTGGTCGCCCTTTCTGGATATGGGCAGTGGAGAGGAGAGACAGACTGGGTGACTGCCCAGAAGGGTTTATTTTTATTCCATCTCCCTCCCTTCAGCTCTGCCCGTCCACGGCCGACAATATCAGAGCCTGCTCTCCAAGGGGCTCCCTCCCAGTGCCTGCCCGGCTCCTCCCTGCCCACTAGCCCCACCCCACACCCAGGCCCAAATATAACCATGAACTAACAAGTATGACATACATCTCCAGGGCCCTGTCAGGCAGTTAGGAGCCACAGGAAACCTTTAAGCACTCCCTGATTTCCAGAGTCCATGTTTGAGGGAGCAGTGGGCTTAAGAACTAGCCCAGGTCTGATCCTCCCCCTGCTGCTAAGTACGATGTGACCTGGGCCAAGTCACCAGGCCTCTCTGGTCTGTAATTTTCTCATCAAAGAAGAAATATGTGGTGGGAATGTCTGAATCTAGGTCATGCACCAGCTGTGTAATCTTGGACTAGTTATTTAGCTATCTGTGCCTCAGTTTCCTCATCTGTCAAACGGGGTCAATCACATAGGGTTGTTGCGAGGATGAAAGAAGATGAGGCATGTAAAATGTGTTTCAAGGTGCCTGGTGCAATACCACTATATTCACAAGTTCTTAGTGAATATCATTTGGAGCAGAGCACAAACCAGACAGAGCAGAGCACAGACAGTCAAATGACATGACTGACACACATGTATTATCTACATAATAAATAGGAGAGCAATAAGCACATATTATCATCAGCCTAGGTTCCCTGACGTTAGGCTCCTGTCCACAGGGTGATGTTAGTTCGCATCCAAGCATGCCCCAGTTCACATCTTGTGAGGAGAACACCCAAATTCCTCCCTCCCCGGATTAAATACTAATCAGGCAGCCAAGTCTACATGCCAAATAGCACATATAGAGAGCAGGTAGGGGGAGGGGTAACGAAAGGGAGATAACAAAAGGTAAAGGGGGATAATAAAAGTGGAAAATCCCCTACAGGCAACAGACATCATTTTCTGCCCCTGTTCAGGCTACTCTAGATTTACCGGCTCCAGAGAACAGCCCTGCCTCCTTATCCCACTAAGATAACATCACAGAGTCTGGATTTCTTCAGAGGGCAGTCATCTCCCCCCCAGGCACAAACTTTACTTTCTGTCCATAAACAACTAGGGAGATGAGCTAGGGGACAATTATAATATAGCACACCTGTGCATCCAGCACCTGGCAGGTAGTAAGTTCTCAATAAATAATAGTCACTAGGCGGTTCAAATCCACCAGCCACTCCTCGGAAGGAAGGTTGGGCAATCCTACTTCCGTAGTGATAACTGCCTCGGAAACCCAAGGAGGGGTCGCTAGGAGTTGGGGCCAACTCGATGGCAAATAACAACAACAACAGGAGCTCTGGTGGCATAGTGCCTAAGGCACTTGACTGCTAACCAGAAGGCTGGCGGTTCAAACCCACCAGCCACTCCTGGGAAGGAAGATGGGGCAATCTACTTCTGTAGTGATATCGCCTTGGAAACCCAAGGAGGGGTTGCTATGAGTCAGGACTGACTTGATGGCAGTGAGTTTAGTTTGGATTGTTTATTAAGGACCTCTGGTGGCACAGTGCCTAAGGCATCTGACTGCTAACCAGGAGGTTAGTGGTTCAAACCCATCAGCTGCTCCATGAAAGGAAGGTGGGGCAATCCACTTCTGTAAAGGTTTACAGCCTCTGTAGCCCAATGGGGGTTGCTATGAGTCAGAATCGACTTCATGGCAGTGAGTTTGTTTTTTGATAGTCATTGTTTATTATTGTCACTAACCCCCTCCTCACGCTGTTTTGATGATTCACAAAAGAGTCCATAGAAAGCATTTAGGACAGTGACTACCAGCTGCTGTCAAGTCGATTCTGACTCATGGCAACCCCACGTGTTGTTGAGTAGAACTGTGCTCCACACAGCTTTCAAGGCTGTGACCTTTTGGAAGCAGATTACCAGGCCTTTCTGCTGAGAGCCTCTTGGTGAATTCAAACCACCAACGTTTTGGTTAGTAGTCAAGAGCTTAAATATTTGTGCCACTCAGGACACCAGAACAGTGACTAAAAACAAAAAACCCAAACCCGTTGCCATAGAGTCGATTCCCTCTCGCAGCCGAGCACTTAACTCTTGTGCTACCAGGAGTCCTCTTCCAGAACAGTGAGTAAACAAACAACAAACCTCAGGGGGCAGGAGTGCACAGAGGGATGGCGACAGGGAAGAGTTAACTATCGGGAGGAAGTGGGAAGGGAGCTGTTGCATTGGGGTAAATTGTAGTCAATGTCATGAGACAAAGTGTATGTGAACTGTTGCATGGAAAGCAAATTTGCTCTGTAAATTTTCACCCAAATCACAATTAAAAAAAAAAAATCCACTGCCATCAAGTTGATTCCAACTCATCACGACCCTTTCGGACAGAGTGGAACTGCCCTGTAGGGTTTCCAAGGCTGTAAACCTTTACAGAAGCAGACTGCCTCATCTTTCTTCCATGGAGAGGTTAGCGGTTCAAACCCATCAGCTGGTTCTAACCAGCAACCTTTCGGTTAGCAGCTGAAAGCTTTAACCACTACACCACCAGAATGCCTCGGAACAGTGACTAGCTTATACTCATTTTGCAGTAAATGTGAGCCATCTTCAATCAAAAGGGATGATTAAAAATCAGAATTCTTGAGCCCAGTAACCAATGATGAGGACCGAAGTGGAACATAGAAATTGCCTAGTCTGACTGCTTCACTTTACAGATAGGGAAACTCAGGCTGAAAGAGGTAAAGTTGGGGTGACCACACATGTTGGTTTGCTCAGGAGGTCCCAGTTTATGCCTGTAGTTCCGGCATGATTGTTAATGGCACCCCTTTCACTCCCAGAAATGTCCCTGTTCGGACAATCCATTTTCTGGTCACCATGGTAACCGGCCCGGCCGGGTCCCACAGCCACTGTCACTGTTGACATACCACCCTCCATGACAGGTCAAGAAACACATTTCTCTTTGTCTCTGTCATGTGGCAGTATTGTGCACGCACACACACACACACACCCCTTTCTTCCAAGGGGCCCAGGAGGGAGGGGTGAGGACAGGCTGTCCACTTGGCCCACCTCCGCTCACATAGTCTGGCTTTGCAAATTCCTTGGCTGTGGTTCATGCTGTACTCTTTGTGGGGCCAGGGGCGCCATGGGGACCAGTCTGGGTTGAAATGACCGTGGGGACCTAGAAGGCCTGGCTACAGTTTCAGACCACAGTGGTGGGAAGCAAGGGTAGAATGGGTGAGCAGAACCTTCTGGAGTAAAGCCTTCTATTAATTCATAAGGGTTCTTTTCACTCCTCAGGCTGACCTCACTCCCTCTCCATACACCCCCAAACCTTGGTACCCCTGGGGAGTACAAAAACAAAACAAAACAAAAAACCAAACTCATTGCTGTCAAGTTGGTTCCAACTCATTGCAACCCCTCCTTGGGTTTCCGACATGGTACCTTTATGGAAGTAGATTGCCCAATCTTCTTCCAAGGAGTGGCTGGTGGGTTTGAACCACCAGCCTTCTGGTTAGCAGTAAAATGCCTTAGGCACTGCACCACCAGAACCTCTGGAGACTCATTGCTGTTGAGTTGATTCAACTCATAGCGACCCCTCCTTGGGTTTCCGAGGCGGTATCTCTATAGAAGTAGATTGCCCAATCTTCCTTCCAAGGAGTGGCTGGTGGGTTTGAACCTCCAGCCTTCTGGTTAGCAGTCCAGTGCCCTAGGCAAAGGATGGTATTTGTGTGGTATGGTCTGCACCCTGTAAGACAGCCTGTTAGGTCTTGATCTTTCTGCGAGAAAGCACACAGCACCTGGGTATGTGGGAGCAGGTCACACACTCCAATCACTGAGCGATCTCGGCTAGCTCTCTCCCTTCTCTGGGGCTCAGTTTGTCTGAACTAGTCATAAGCTAGAATGTTCCCTCACAGGCGCATGCTGGATGCTGGGTCACAGCCCCATGTGAGGCCCAGGCTCGCCCAGATTTGGGGTCAGGTCCCGGCCCCCAGCCAGACCTTGAGGTGGGGAACTGGCTTCCTAGTATTGTCCCTCTGGCTTCCCCATCCCCCAGGAGCATCTTGGTTGTTGGAATCAGGAAGCCCTGTGCACCCACCCAGAGATACAGGGGCCCCATAGCTGCCTGCAAGGGCTGTGACCAGGTCAGGTTGGCTATCGTTCTGAGATAAGGAGAACAGAGATTAGCCACTGAAATGGGAAGGCTGGTTGCCCCACACACAACCATGAACTTGAAGCCCTGATAACCTAACGTCAGGCTTCCCAGACAAATGGAGAAAAAAGAAAGAAGACAGGAGATACCTTGAGAGTGAAGAAAGAAAAATGAGGGGAAGTCACAACCTGCCCAGGGGCAACTCATCTACCATCGCATTTCACAGAGGGAGAAATTGAGGCCTGGCAGACACTTAGGAGCTCTGGTGGCATAGTGCCTAAGGCATCTGACTGCTAACCAGAAGGCTTGAAGTTCAAACCCACTAGTCACTCCTTGGAAAGAAGACTGGGCAATCTATTTCTATAGAGATACCGCCTAGGAAACCCAAGCATTGCTGTGAGTCGGTACTGACTCGATAGCAATGAGTTTGGTTTTTTGGTTGGCAGATGCTTGGAGTGAACAGGTAGATGTGCCTGTTGTGCTGTCGTGCACACGAAAACCCCTCAACAGTGAGGTTCGAATCCTGCTTTGTCCCTACCTCACTATGCGACCCGAGCAAGTGACTTGACCTTTCTGAGCCTCAGTTTTTCCATCTGCAAAATGAGGGTAATTGTACTTCTGAGCTGGGAGGATTTAGGCGCTCCGTAGATGTTGGCTGATGTCAGTTCCATCATCCTAAGCCTGGCTCTTCCCAGGAAGCCACATCTGGTCCTTAATCATATACTCCAATCTCCCATTTTACAGGGAGGTAAATTGAGGCTTGAAAGTGCAGAGACTTGCTCCTCTGCTCTGCTAGAAAGGGGTTCAAGAGTGCAGGGTATTGGGGGTGGGGGGTGTCCCTGGGTAGTGGGTGTGTCCTGGCCAGGAGGGGAGAGGGAGGGAGGAAAGGGATGGAGAGGATTTCCATGGCCAGCCTGCAGGCACTGTGATAAGCCTTATCAAACGGTCTCCCAGGTAAATACAGACCTCAGCCAGGCGAGTACAGCTACTGCTTGTTACTCTTTGCCCTTGGAGACCTCAGAACCAACCTTTCCCACCCTTGGGCCAGAGTCCCAGCCAGGCTGCCTGCCCCTTGCTGACCCCAAGGGAGTGGTTCCCACCAGGAGCCAAATGAACTGATTCGGCATTCAAAGCCATTTTCCTAGGAATGGCCTACAAAGAAAACTGGGCACTGGGCATCTGGGGACAGGGTGGTGGGGGCAGCTGCTAATGTCTACAAGGCATTACCCCTGTGACCGGCCTATTTCATTTAACAACCCTCTAACCTGAGTGCATTCCAGATGGTGAAACTCAGGCTCAGAGAGGCTAAGCAACTTACCCAGGGTCACACAGCAGGGAGGCAGCCCAGCCCATACTACAACCCAGGTCTGTCTCTCCAGACCCCAAGCCTGAAGCCTTCTCCTGAGACTTGGAAAAGAAATTGCTGGGGCACAAAACCACCTCCCCAGAGGGCTGGAACCAGCTGGGTTTTCTCCCAGTCACCCATACCCAACTTGGACCTGATCCCTGAGGCTTGGTTGGGTTGTGTGGATTTCAGGAAGCGACTGTTGATAAGAGGTCAGAAAGTTGTTTTTATGTAGAAGGAGGGGCTGGGATCTTGATGGCTTGCATAGCAGGAAGCTAACCCCTAGTCTGGTGATAATAGTCTTTTAGGAACCCAAGTGTTCAGGGACACACTTTTGTTTATAAGGCTGGATGACCTGGAGGTGACTACACTCCTGTTTGGGCCTCACTTCATCTCTTTCATCTGTGCAAGGGGGATAACGGTGCCATGAGGGCTGCTGGGAATTTCCCAGGGGACAAAGAGGTGTTCATGCACCTGCTCCATTCCCAAACAGGGCACAATTAAGTCACAGAATGACCACATCAGACTCAAAGGGAGATGGGATGGGGTAGGGTACTTACCGGTCACCGCACTAAAGGTGAGGCTGTCCACACTGGCCTCATAGCCACGGCCCTCGAAGTGCAGTGTCAGCCGGAAAGGCTGGCCACGCCGCACCACCAGCCTCTTGTGGCACAGGTCGGCTGTGTGGTGATCACGGCCATTGGCCTCCAGCTCCAGATCACATCTCTCCAGGATCAGTTCTACGGAGACAGTGGAAGAGGCATGAGTCACAGCATCCCAGCCAGCCAGGACCCCTGACAACATGCCCACACTCCCTGGGTGCAGGGGTCCTCCAGGCCCTTCCAGTCTTGGTGGTCCATGGACACTGGGGAGGTAAATGCCTCTCCTCTTAGGGACTGTTCATCACCCCTCTCTTCTCACTCTACAGCCCCCTGCCCACACACACGCACACAGGCTCTGGTGGGGGTCGAGTCTCCCAAACTTTTTTAGTCACAAGGTTGTGCTCAGAGTGCTGGGTTGGGAGAAGGCTCTGCCACCTCCCTCTGCCTGAGCTCAGGCAACTCAACCCTCCTGGGCCTCAGTTTGCTCATCTGCTCATCTTTCCATAGGTGGGGAACACTAAACCCTACCTCACAGGGCTATTGTGAGCAGTCAATGGACTAATATGTGCCTGGCACATAATAAATGCTCAATAAACAGGAATTATTCTTATGTCCTTATCGGAGGGTTCTCTTGGGTAAAATAGGGGCAGTATTTGGTGTAGTTTATTTACATGGGTTTTGTCTCTAGACTGAATTTTCATTTTACAGGAAACACAGAGGACTGAGGAACACACTAAACACACTCCCAGGACACAATCAGCAACATTCATACATTGACAAACTATAGGTGAAGAATCTAGTCTCTTCAACAAATAAATGGCAGGGAAAAAAGAAGGGAGAACCTATAGATTGAAAAAACAAACAAACCAGAGCTTTGAACCAGTTCATTCCGGTTTGACCCCCTGCTGAGAATTTGAATTTCTACCCCAGATATACTGAATCAGATGCTGCAATTTAACAAGACCCCAGGGGATTCTTCTGTATACACACAGAATATGTATAATGCATGTGTGTAAAATTACATATACATATGCATAATGTATGCACGTATAATTACATATGCATTATAATATACACATACATTATAATGTATGTATAATGTATATGCGATTCTTCTGTACACATAAGAATGTATACATAATGTATACAGAAGAATCCCCTGGGGATCTTGTTAAGCTGTGGGTTCTGATTCTGTATATCTGGGGTGGACAGGCAAGTTCTCAGCAGGGGTCAAACTGGAATGAACCGGTTGGAAGCCCTGAAAATAACAGACATTTCAACCCATTGAGATGTGTGGAGCACGAGGAAGAAAGGCCTGCTGATCTTCCAACAATTAGCCAGTGAGAACCGTGTGGATCAAAACAGTCAGATCCCACACACACAGGGTCCCTGTGTGTCAGGGACCAACGCTACGGTAGCTAACGACAACATGAGACAGCTGGGAATTTGAATAGTGACTGAATAATGATGAAACGAAGGGGGTTAGAGAGTCCTTATCCTTTAGAGAAGCAACTCTGGTGGTGTAGTGGTTAAAGCATTCAGCTGCTAAGCCATAGGTCATTGGGTTGAACCTACCAGCCACTCCATGGAAGACAGATGAGGCAGTCTGCTTCCATAAAGATTTAAAAACCAAACTCACTGCCATCGAGTCAGATCCGACTCATATAGAGACCCCTCCTTGGGTTTCCGAGGTGGTATCACTATAGAAGTAGATTGTCCAATCTTCCTTCTGAGGAGTGGCTGGTGGGTTTGAACCACAGTCTTCTGGTTAGCAATCAAATGCCTTAGGCACTACGGAACTAGGAACTAGGAACCACCATAAAGATTTACAGCTTGGAAACCCTATGTGGTGGTTCTACTCAGTCCTAAAGTGTCACTACGTGTCAGAATCAGCTCATTGGCAGTGGGTAAGGCATTTGACTGCTAACCAGAAGCTGGCGGTTCAAACCTACCAGCCACTCCTCGGAAGGAAGATTGGGCAATCTACTTCTGTAGTGATACTGCCTCAGAAACTCAAGAAGGGGTTACTATGAGTCAGATCCGACTCGACAGCAGCAAGTTTGGTTTGGTTTGGTTAGAGACACTTAATGAAAAATTTACAGTTGAGCTGCTGCTGCTGATGATGCTTGGAATTTACTAAATAGGGTAGGACTGGCCATGGGTTGGTGGTGACTGGGGTTAAGTGATGAGAACATAGGGATTTCTTATACTTGAATTTTATGTGGGTTCAATATTCTCCATAATACAAGGATTTTAAAAGACAGGCATTTCAGAGTCTTCTAAACTTAGATTCCAGTTCTGCTGTGATACTGTGTGACTATGAACAAGTGTCTCTCCCTCTCTGTGCCTCCTTCTCTAAAGTTTCCAAGAACTGCTGTGAGATCTAGGAGAAAATGATCCGGACAACCTCCTCCAGGCAAGAGGCTGATACATGAAAAGTCTACTCCTAGCTTCAGAGGCAGCTGAGAACCAGAACATGGGCAGGGCTGGCAGCTGGGTGGGGGCCTAAGTCATGAACCTTGGCAAAGTCAAGGTCAATTCTGGGATTTTTAGGGTGGGAGGAGTAAGCAAGATAGGATCTCAAGAATTGTGGGGTCATTGCCCAGCCATTCCATTACTAGGTATATATCCTAAAGAATTGAGAGCCAGGCAAGAACAGATATATGCACACCCATGTTCATCACAACACTATTTACAACAGCCAATAGATGGAAAGAACCTAGGTGCCCATCAACAGAAGAACGGGTAACCAAATTATGGTACATACACACAATGGAATACTACGCAACCCTAAAGAATAACACAGAGTCTGCAAAATACCACATAATGTAGATGAACTTGGAAGACATTATGCTGAGTGAAATAAGTTGATCACAGAAGGACAAATATTGTATTAGTCCCTTATTGTTAAAAGTCAAAGAAAGGTTTATCTGTGGAAGGAAATTTTCTTTGTTGGTTACCAGGGGTGGGAGGGGAGGGGAGGGAACACAGTTAGATAGGTAGAGACAAGTATTGATTTGGGTGAAGAGAAGGGCAATGTACCAAATATGAGTGATCAACACAGTGGCATCGAGGAAGAGGAAGACATAGAGAGGTATATGGGAGGTGCAGACAACAAAGATGAACACTTTTGCACATACAGTACTGTGTTGTCAGTGAAGGCAAACATGGATATATGCATGGATAGATGGGTGGACGGGCTGAACTATTAGGTATGTCTATGCAGGGGGGAGTGTGCCCAAGACCATGTAGAGAGTTGGCAGAGAATGTTTCTACAAGTGTATTTGTATGTTCTGTAAGAATTCCCAGGTACATAGTAGAGCTGACAAGGGACAAGGTTGTAGTCACTCCTTGGCCATAGCCAGCTACCCAGAGGGAGCTAGTAGTTGGACCTGTGGGCTCGGGACTATAGTTACAAGGGACATCAAGCTCAATTGACATAACATACTACACAAAACATTGTTCCACAATTTACTTTTGTGAATAGTGACTGGGATCTTAAAAGCTTATAAGCACCCAAGAGATTCAATCAAAAAACTACTGGAACTAATTGAGGGATTTAGCAAAGTCGCAGGATATAAGATCAACATCCAAAAATCAGTTGGATTCCTCTA